TCCACCTTCCCCCTCTCCACCTTCCCCCTCTCCACCTTCCCCCTCTCCACCTTCCTCGCCTTCCCTCTCTCCGCTTCTTCTTACCTTTTAACCTTCCTCAATGTGCTATCTTCCTGGCTCCCTATCATCATCTTCCAGTTGGCACGGGCTACCACCACCAGGCTAGACGTTACAGACCCGCTGCTCATTGCTGCCTCTTGTCTCTGCTGCTGGCTGGCTTTAACAGGGTCCACTTGTGATAACTTGGTCCAACAGGCTGTTGCTTGGAGCGGCCCGCAGGCCTACACACTCGCTACATCCCGGCTGGACCGGCACTTCTTGCGTGTGTTTATCTAATTGCTTCTTAAGAATATCCACTTTTGTTCCGACAATATTTCTTATACTTGCTGGAAGAGTATAAACAGCCGACCACCCCCTGATGTTTATACAGTGTTCTCTGTGCCTAAATCGCCTCTACTCCTCACTAGTTTTATTCTGCATTTCCTTCCCTAACTTTCGCTTCAGTATGTTATTTTACTGTGCAAATTTGGAACCTGACCTTCCAGTATCTTATATGATATTTATCTCGTCTCCTTTCCAGAGACGGAGAGGGCTTTGAGACGGTGCCAGTAATTTAGGTGCTTTATCGTGTCTGTGCGTGCCGTATATGCGCTCCCTATTGTTTACGAAATTTCTCCTGCTCTGAAATGGGAAGCGAGTACCGAGCAGTATTCAAAGCGGGACAGCACCAGCGATATAAGTGGTAACATTGCGGGTGGGATCCCAGGGTGTGAACGTTCTCATAATCCATCCCATCATTTTCCTGGCTGCCGCTATATTTGCTGGGTTATGCTCACTGAACATCAGGTCGTCAGACCTCATACTTCCCACATATTTTACATGCTGTTTTACTTTCGTCAGGAAGTCTGAATTGTCTTGTGCTACCCTGACGCCTGACAGCTGGGTGGACAGCGCTTCGGATTCGTAGGCCCTAGGTTCCGGGTTCGATTCCCGGTGGAGGCGGAGACAAATGGGCAAAATGTTTCTTTCACCCTGGTGCCCCGGTTACCTAGCAGTAAATAGGTACCTGGTAGTTAGACAGCTGCTATGGGCTGCTTCCTGGGGGGGGGGGGGGGTTGTAACAAAAAGGAGGCCTGGTCGAGGACCGGGCCGCGGGGACGCTAAGCCCCGGAAGCACCTCAAGGCAAGGTATGTTTGCAACAGGTGTCTCCAGATGAAGGTGGGTGCATCTTGCTCGGAAGCTGAGTGATAGGGTGAGGGGGATCTAGTCTGTAGGCGCAAATACCTCAGAGTGTTGAGCACATCAGCCTTGATATTTACTATTCTTTTTCCGGGGGAGTGACGTTTAGCTTTTCCCTGGGGTGAGTGGCACCTAGTTTTTTTCCCCCGGGGGGGGGGGGGAGTTTCTTTCCCGGTGAGAGGTGGAGCGGAAGTGGTGTGACCCAAAACTTTCTGCTTTGGGTCCATTTCATTTGCAAAATTTATTTTCATTTTTGTTTAAATACCAATAATGCAATTTTTGGCCGTAGTGCATATGAGCGAAAAGCGACGTAATTTGTAAGAGGACGGGCTGCTCCATGGGTGTGTGCGTGTTGTGGTGGGGGTGGGGGGGGGGGAGGTGTCACGTGGTTACCGAGCCGCGGGTGGTGTCAGGTGACAGTGTCAAGTGATTGGTTGGTCTCTTGTGTAACCGTCCACTACCACCACCAACACCACCATTAAAACAAACTAAAAATACCTGTGAGTGGAAAGACCTCCATAGAGCATGTAGAACGTCTGCCTTGTTCAACTTGTCACTTGTACCCAGACGCAGACTTATAATGTGTCTCAAGACACACTTAAGGTGGTGTCCGTATCTCGTACTTCAGATTCTGCATCTCCGCCTCCTCAGCTGTGGTTTCCATCCCGAATTTCCCTCTGCCGCGAGTATCCATGACTTGGTGTTACGTATCGTCTCCCTCGTCCAACTGCCTTTCGTCCATAATGATCCAGGCTAAGACATCATTCTACCAGTGTATAGATGCACTGACTTCTTCTGTCGTTCTTTTCTCAGACACATTGTCACGATGCTGTTGTCTGACAGCTCTAACTTGTAGATGTGTCTTCTGTATGATGGTCTCCTTCAGCAGACAAGACTCGAAAGTGAAAGGAAGTTAACAGGAACTTGAATTCCCTTTCCTTGATAATTTAGCATTGAGGCGGGAGTTGATGATGATGTCTGACGAAATGACGAAAAATGTATCTTGGGTTGTCGATCTTCAGTAAGCTTAGGGTATAATATAAAATAATATACACATAGAAAATATTAAAGGGGTCAGGTCCCAAATTTACACAGTAAAATAGCAACGTACTGGAGTGAACGATTTGGAAGAAAATGCAGAATAGAATCAGTGAAGAGCAGGGGTGCCATAGACACAGAGAACACTGTATAAACATCAGAGGTCCGCGGTTATTCAACATCCTCCCAGCGAGCATAAGAAATATTGCCAGAACAACCGTGGACATTTTCAAGAGAAAACAAGATACTTTTCCTCAATAAGTGCCGGACCAACCGGGGCTGTGGCGGGTATGTGGGCCTGCGGACCGCTCCAAGCAACATCCTGTTGAACCAAGCTCAAACCTGGCCTCGGGCCGGGCTTGGGAAGTAGAACAACTCACAGAACCCCATCAAGAAGGCATCAAGCAGGCAGGCGCAAATACCTCAGAATTTTGAGCACATCAGCGTTGATATTTACTATTCTTTTTCCGGGGAGTGGCGTTTAGGCCTTCTGCAGTTACCTTTGTTCTCATGTTTAACTTTTCCTCGGGATTAGTGGGGGCCTCCCTCCCCCCCTTATGAGTGTCTTTACCGGTGAGAGGTGAAGCGGAAGTGGTGTGACCTAAAACTTACTGCTTTGGGTCCATTTCATTTGGAAAATTAATTTTAATTATTTTGAAAATTCCAATAGTTTTCCACTCTTTGTGTCATTGATGAAAGTTCCGTCTCCCTTGCCCCCCAAGGCCTCTTGGGTGGACTCTGGAACACTCTGGTTTGGTGGTGGTTGGTTTAAGGCCTGTCAACCACACACACCGGTTGTTAATGCAATAATTTACTGACCAATCAGCAAGCATACATTTGTCCAGGACATGTTTAAGGACAAAAGTAAACTGCGTGTGTGTATATACCAAGAAGCAGGAATATTCTACTTCTTGGTATACACGTCTTGGTGTATGTGTTCCTATATACACCGTGGTGAAGGCAATCTGGTTTTCCGATATCTTCCCCCCACCCCCCACCCTCATAAACTGCTTACGTAATGACCCGAGTCACCTGACTACAACAGGGCTGGGTAAATGACCTATGACTTGCGACCTAACGACCTGCCTAGAATGGCTTTAATTACCCATTGCTTAGCTAGATGATGGCTTTAAACTACCCATTCCTTAGCTAGACGATGGCTTTAAACTACCCATTCCTTAGCTAGATGATGACTTTAAACTACCCATTCTTTAGCTAGATGGTGGCTTTAAACTACCCATTCTTTAGCTAGATGATGGCTTTAAACTACCCATTGCTTAACTAGATGATGCCTGAACTATCACCATGTTGAATGACAACTTGATGACCCCACTCGATAATGGTGAGCTCATTGGGTGTTGAGCAGTTGCTAGCCCACAAGCCGTCCGGGAGATCCATCTCATTTTCCTGAAATGAATGTACATGTAGTAACTATTTGACCGCAAGTACAAACCTGTAGTGGTGGACCACCAGAAAGTTGACTTCTGTTATTGCATTTGGACAAACCGGAAACTTTCTTTTAAACGCGACATACATAGATACAAGACCTAACCTGGCAAACCTTGGCCTTTATACACGCTGACGTAGGACTAATATAATGCATATGTGGTATACTAGGTCTAGGAACATTTAAACTTTTGGTTTTAGTTTTTCTTTCGGACTCTGTCAAATTAATAGTACAAAAAGTGGTGTACCGGTGGACCGGTAAATACCTACCTAATGGTGCTTTCGCTCAAATAGTTACTTTTCTATCATTTCGGGAGGACGGGTTGTGTTCATGTCTCCATCACGACTTTTCCAGCGTCTGAACTGAAATGCTTTCACTTAACTATAATTTACGGAGGCCGATGTTCATTAGTTCGTGAAGCGCCCAAGCTGAAGTGCTTTAAAATCCACGAATGCACCCCATTTTTGACGTTGGCATTAATAGGTAACCAATTGATTTAAATTGTGAAGGTCGAGGTGGTGAGCAATGGTCGTCCATTTATAATTGTGACTCGTAGGGTGGGGTAAGGGGGAGGGAGGTGCTGGTCTGGGGCTTCCAGTAGAGATTTTGTGGCTGCTCGGGGACCGGGCCGCGGGGACGTTGAGCCTTGAAATCAACGTAAGATAATTGCTATATAAAGCACACAGTAACTACAGCGGCATATGCCATGCTGACCAGTGTCCACTAAGCATTCAGAAATTTTGACATAACTTTTAGGTCCCCCCCCCCCCCATATACAACCTATGAGATACCAATTCTTGAGTATGCAGCTCCCGCATGGAACCCTCGCATGCAAAAGCTCAACATAAAACTATAAAAGTTCGATATACATTCATTAAGGCTTATTTCAGAGCAGGAGAGCCTGAAGTACGGGGAAAGACCGAATCAATTGAATCTAGAGAGGTGGCAACATATTGGGAGACATGGTAACAACGTACAAGATTCTAAGAATTGACAAAAGTAGATAAAAGAAGCATTGCTTAAAGTTAGGAGCAGCAGAATGAGGGGTATGGATTGAAACCCACACACAGATGTCTTTAACAACTTATTCAGTGTTAATGGCTTGCAGTGGCCAATGTATAATTATTTCCTGGCCGTGCAATTATTTCTGACATCTTCAATTAGTTCCGGCGCCTTCAATTATCTCTGGCGCCTACAATTATCTCTGGCGCCTACAATTATCTCTGGCGCCTACAATTATCTCCTGTTCCTACGATTGTTATTGTTGTGTTGCAGGTTTAATGGCGGGAAAATCTACACGTACATCGGGGAGGTGTGCGTCTCGGTCAACCCCTACAGGACGGTCACCTTCTACGGCAAGGACTATGTCAACCAGTACAAAGGTAAGTCACCCCTGTTAGGGGTGGAAGGGAAGGGGGTGGGGAAAGATAGGCGAGTTTTTTACCACAGACGTGGCCATACATTTACATTGGTTAATCAGCATATTTTTTTGTCTGTCTGTCATGGTTAGGGTTAGAGATCTGTTAAAATATATAGTTCAGTGCGAGTGGGAGGTATGCTGGATAAGGAAGTGGATAGGTATACATAGTTGGATAGGAAAGTGGGTAGATAGGTTGGATAGGGTTCGAGTAGGTCTACAAAACACATACAGGTTCTTCTCAACTGTAAAAGTTAATGCAACAATTAATTTCGGAAAAGATAGTGCTCTCGGAAAAGAGTTAAATTAAAAGCCACTTGAGTTTTCATAATTGTATTGCTGAGCCTGGCCTCAGGCCGGGCTTGAGTAGAAAAACAACTCCCAAAATTCCCTCCAGGGTATACTATGTTAGCTGTGGGCGTGTATTGCCTGTGGACGATATACATAGTGGTTCTATCGTAGCTTTCCCTGGTCAATACCTGGGCCAAGGTTTATCAAGCACTTACGAAAATTGTGCATCTTTCCCTTAATCATAGCGGCTTTGTTTATATTTATGAAACAGTATACGAGCTCCGAAGTAATACGAGATTGGTACAACAAAAATAACCTTGAGTCGTGAAATTCCAAGCTTGTTAACTGCTTAATGATTGTAAACAAAACGGGCATAATTAAGGAGAGCTATACAGGTATCGTAAGGGGTTGGGTCAGTCCTTGATGAATCCCGGGCCTGGCTTGTGAGGTTACTGGTCTTCATATACTGCAGGACGGCGGCGGCGAGGGGCACCCACATTGCCACAAACTTCTCAAGTTCTCTCTTGCAAGATCTTACCGTAGTTCTTGTTAGGAGGCACTATAGTTACTGAAAGTGAAAGGTGCCCGAGAAGGATGGACAAATATAACTAAACACGAGGGTTATGTAATAGAATCGGTGCCTTAAGACGGAATAAGTTAAAGATAAAACAGGTAGTTTTTCCTAATGTACTTGTAATGCAAAGCACAGCTAATTAGAGGACTTTATGCGTACTGTAGGCTAATAGTTTTGAACCATCTGTAACAAGATCTATACGGGTAACTCTTGCAGTGGCCTATAATGAACACTAGACTCATGGTAATCCATTTTAGGATCCAGGTAGTACCAGGGTTCGTTCTCGACGCACACTCGAGAATTCCGGGTTCGAATCCCGGCTGGGACAGAAATGGCTGGGCACATTTCCTGTCTTCAATGCATCTGTTCACCTAGAAGTAAGGAGGTACTCAGGAGTTAGTCAGCTTATTGTAGGGTTGCATCCTGGGCGAGGTTAGTAATTCAGCCTTGGGGGAGGGGGGGGTCTTTGATATAAGCCAAACGTGTATGAAAACACTCAGGCTTCCTGTCCCCTAACACAATGAACTATTAATATTATTATTTTGACTCGCCAGGTCGGGAGATCTTCGAGCGACCGCCGCACATCTTCGCCATCGCGGACGCGGCGTACAAGGCCATGAAGCGACGGGGCAAGGACACCTGCATAGTAATCTCTGGCGAGTCGGGCTCCGGCAAGACCGAGGCCTCCAAGATCATCATGAGATATATTGCTGCCGTTACCAATGTTGCCGGACAGCAGGAGGTGGAGAGGTGAGAAAGGGAAGGAGACTGGCTTAAGGAAATTTAGGATATGGCTTGGCCTAAGTACAAGAAACGGTTAAGACGATAGGAATTTGTAAGTGTTTTTAATATGCTGAGATATGACAGCCTTTCTTGATAAGTTATGATCAAAACATATCCTGTTAAGTTTAGGTATAATGTACACATTATACCTAATGCATTATCAAGCATTATCCTTTTGTATAATGTACACATTATGCAGTACATACCTGTATATATTTTAAGTGTTCTTGGTTAAATCCCATCTTTGCCCTTATTTTAATTAAACAATACACTTGTCTATTGCTGTTGATTAAATTCATTAATCTACATTCATTTATTTTAGAGTGAAGAATGTTCTCCTGCAGTCGAATGCCATCCTTGAAGCGTTTGGTAATGCTAAAACCAACAGAAATGACAACTCGTCCCGATTTGGAAAATACATGGACATTAACTTTGACTTCAAGGGTGACCCAGTCGGCGGCCATGTCCAAAACTACCTTCTAGAGAAGTCTAGGGTTGTCTTACAGCAGCAAGGAGAGAGGAATTTTCACTCCTTTTATCAGGTAAGATATTTTTTGTCTCGCCTTTAATAATTATGTGAATACATGCAGTACATTTCAAAGATATGAATCGACATAATCGACTTGATAATGGTCCAGGACGGACTGAAACATTGTCGTCTATTCAGTTTCTAGTGTGTGGTTTGGTCAACACTTTCAAAGTACTCTTCTATAAAACACCAAATGCTAACCCTGTGTTTGCTTATATCTATACTGCTTTCCTACCTGCCAGCCAGCCTTTTACTGTGCCTGGTTTACTCATAAGTTCTTGGAACTTTAGGCAGGAGGAGGTATGGGGGGGGGGGTGTTTATGGTATAAAAGCATAAGAAACTGTAGTAGAAGAGTTGGCCCATTCAAGGCAACTTTTATTTACACCCACCCAAACTTATTCATATGCATGTCTAACTTTCACCTGAAACAATCCAGTCATACCATTTGTTAAATAAATCAACAATTATATTGCCTAATAAAATTTTACCTAGATTCTTTCTGTATCAAAATTTATCCAATTTGTATTCATTGTCTTGTGTTCTATTTGGGTTTATATATATAACACCTTATTAATATCCTCATTGTTACACCTCTTCATCCATTTGTATACTGTACTTCAACTATGGTACTTTCCAGAGAATTAATATCTTCATAAGAAAAGGTTTCTAATTCCTGGAATTAATTGTCATCCTTCTCTGTACTCGTTCAAGTGAATTTATGTACATTCTTTAGCATAGCTACAAAAACTAAACTACATATATTAAGACTTGGAATATATGATTATCATATTTTCCAAGTTTTGGGATATTTGGGAAGAAATTTGGCTTAAATGGGCATGAATACTGCATATTGGAATGGAAAATGTTTGTACAGTAATTTGCATTTTTGTAAATGGGCTTAAATTGTGTTGTAAAGTTTGCAATTAGTAGTTGTACTAGTGATATAATTGGACAACATAAGAGTTTATCGTCTTTTACTAAAATTTCATGGTCATTAAGGTCTTTTGTCAACTATCTTTTCACATGTGACAGTCATAGGAAAGTATGTTAGTTGTATTGTGAGAAACATGTACCAAACCGTGTATTGTTTTCTATCAACTTGTGCAGGTTCTTTTCGGAGCAACAGATTCGGAGTTGTCACGCCTGAAACTGAAACGGGATGTCAATGCATATCACTTCATCCGTCAAGGTGGTACTCCCAGGGTAGACTCCATCGCTGACAAGGCTGACTACAAGACTTGCCAACAAGCATTTAAGACGTTAGGGTTCACACCTGACCAAATTGATGCTATTTGGCGAATCGTTAGCGCAATTTTACACTTGGTATGTATTGCTGGGCAAGTCTGAAAATGCAAGTCAGCATTTATGTTACTGTTTAAAGCCTTTTATCATCACTACCGCTGTTATTATTATTAACTAATATAATTCCTATTATCCACTCTCATGGGGCTGAGTGAGGTCCACCCCATAGAAAAAAGGGAGTAATGTACTGTAGCTAAAGATGGTCATAGATGTTGCAAAATAATGCTTGTTCATTCAAAATTTCTAACCTATATTGTATAGTTTTATGGATGAGCAAATACCATCACACTCCAACGCTCGACCATAACATGACCCATCATGTTTTGTATGACCAAGAGTGGCCTGACATTGCTCTTTGTGCAATGTTTTTCAACCTCATTCATTGTAATAAGCAATTTGCTTGCATACAGTACAGACATGCATTGTTGTATTTGTGTATGATTAGTGTTTGTACTTTTAAATTAATGTAATTACCTATGCTGTATTTTTTACTAGGTCAAATAGTTTTGGAGAACATAGTATAACATTTCATTAATAATTTGTTCTTTGTTGAAAGTTTCTTTGTTATTAAAGCTAACCTTACCTGGATCTTACTTGGAGGAGGTTCTAGGAATTCTTTTACACCCTGTGCCCAGCCTCGGGTGAGGCTCGACTTGAGACCTTGATCCAGTTGACTGTTGCTTGGAGCGACTCGCCGGCCGCTCCAAGCAACACTACAACATGGCGGTGGACCAACCGCTCCACTACAATGGTGGTTGGTCCAGCACATCTTGCCGGAAACTGTCTAATTTGATTATGCTACTTGAAACTACTGTTCTTCAAAACCATGAAACACTCCTAGTGAGAAATACAGCAAAGATAAATGATTACTTTAAATTGTATTAATAATTGTAATTCAATTATAGAAATCCAACAATATTATACCTGCATACATAAACTGTATGCACACACAAGTATACTGTGGTACAGAGCACCACTTGGTTTACGAACTTTAGTTATCCGAAACTTCCAGTTTCCCGATTGGGGTTGGGGAGTCATGTTACACGAACTAAGTTCGGGTAGAAAGTAGTCCGCCAAGCTTCATGCCGGCCGGGGTTGGGGTTATCCTACACGAACCAAGTTCGGGTAAGGAAGCGGTCAGACAAGCGTCGTGCCGGCCCGTGGTGGTGGGTGGGGGGGTGGGAGATGGTTAACTCAGTTTGCTCACTGACCGTTTCGGGCGCCGCCTGCTACCCTGTGACGTCACAGACTCACGGTCTATTGTTCCCATTGTTTGAATTTGTCACGAGACTGGAGTGTTCATTCCGTGACTTTGTTTTACATATCAGCACAATCAAGGAACATCCGTGCACCATATCGACTCCAAATGCACGCATTGTATCAGTGAAAGCATCTACAAGCGGGTTACATAAAAGAAAGAGGTCATGCAGTGATGACATTTGAGAAGAAAGTTGAAATAATTAAGAAGGTGGAGAGTGGTGTCCCGAGAAGTGTCGTGTGCGCTGAATATGGCATTAGTAAAAGTACTGTTTCTGGGGGGAGCCCCGTCGGCTCCCCGGACCTTTACCGGCTGATATGCTAATGTCAGACTTTGGCATCAGTCATGTGTATGGATTTCTAGGGCCTACCGTGGACCACGAGCCAGAACCTGGCCCCCTCAGAGAGGCAAGGGGAGCAATGGCCTATAGAAACCTCCGTGTGGTTGGAAGCATTCTATGTCTGCCATCGACCGGGTCAAGCATCCAGAAAGGTAAGCATTCCAAAACAAACCCCTATTCTGGTGAAAATTGCTACCTAAGCCGACCTAGTGGATACAACTCTTCAACAGAAAACAAGGAAACTAGTATGACGTCATACGTCACCGCGCCGCTGTCTGCGCAGCTCCCCCCTCCCCGGGAGGGGGAAGGGGAAGCCCCAGACCTCCCACGCCGGCTATCCACCCATCAGTTCTTCGGCTGATGCTATAGGCAATGGTTATGTGCTCCGGCTCCAGTGGTTGTTTCAGCACTGTACCTAGAGTGTGGTGTCTGTTTTCAAGGTGGTGCGTGAGCTGGGAGTGATTCTTCAGTACTCGGGCTGCATGCGCCTAGGGTTCCCTTCCCTAGGTGCCCTGTAAGTACAGCCCTTGGGGCTTGGGGCCACCTTCCACAAGTTCCTTGGGTCCTGCCCCTACTTGGCCTTTTACTGCTTGGTTTTCGGCCGCTCTTTGTGTGCTCGGGTGTTCTGTCTCCCTTGTTCGCCTTAGAGTAAGGAGCAGTGTTTGCACTGGTGGGGCGCGGGGTACTGTGCAGCTTGTCTTTACCAATCATAGCGGCCGGCTCTGTTCCGCTTGGGTACGCTGTCCTCTTGCGGGGTTTTCTTTTTCTTTTTGTTTATCTACCTGGTGGGGGGGGGGGTCTGCCTTCGATCTTGCCCCTTGTGTCCCTTGTGTTCTGAGTATTTTCTGGTGGTACCCCCTGCTAGGTCCCCGTGAGTGTACACGTCCCGGGGGTTCAGCTCTTAGAAAGTTGTTTGGTAGCTTTGGGTGCCGGTTAGCAGTACACTGCCTGGGATTACCTGAGCGCGAGTCCTCCTAAAGTAAACGCTCGGGACCCTGGGAAACCCCTGGGGGCGCGCGGGTCCGATGGATGTGACCACAGAGTCCCCCCCTCGCTTCCAGCGAGTTTGAGGGTTGCTCTCAACTTTTGTCTCTGGGTGACTCTCTGTTTTGCCTCCATCTGCTGCCTGTGGGGTCGGTGACACCTTTGACCCGGAGTCCTGCGAGTTTGGTTGCTCGTTGTGGCTCGGTTCCCCAGTTGTGCTAACAAAGCGGGTGCGGGCAGCAGGGGCGTTGCACTTGAGCCTTGGGGGTGGCAACGTTCTCGTGGTTTCCTCCCCGGGAGCCCCGGGGCTGCCCCGTTGTAGTTCGTTTTGGGACTTGGGGGTGTTGGTTGCTTCGGTTCCATCCACGCCCCCTTGTCTTTCCCCTGGTTCACCCTTCCTGCCTGCATCCGGTTCCTTACCGTCTGTAGGTTCGGAAAAAGAAAACCCCGCAAGAGGACAGCGTACCCAAGCGGAACAGAGCCGGCCGCTATGATTGGTAAAGACAAGCTGCACAGTACCCTGCGCCCCACCAGTGCAAAAACTGCCCCTTACTCTAAGGCGAACAAGGGAGACAGAACACCCGAGCACACAAAGAGCGGCCGAAAACCAAGCAGTAAACGACCAAGCAGGAGCAGGACCCAAGGAACTTGTGGAAGGTGGCCCCAAGCCCCAAGGGCAGTACTTACAGGGCACCTAGGGAAGGGAACCCTAGGCGCATGCAGCCCGAGTACTGAAGAATCACTCCCGGCTCACGCACCACCTAGAAAACAGACACCACACTCTAGGTACAGTGCTGAAACAACCACTGGAGCCGGAGCACATAACCATTGCCTATAGCATCAGCCGAAGAACTGATGGGTGGATAGCCGGCGTGGGAGGTCTGGGGCTCCCCCTTGCCCCTCCCGGGGAGGGGGGAGCTGCACAGACAGCGGCGCAGTGACGTATGACGTCATACTAGTTTCCTTGTTTTCTGTTGAAGAGTTCTATCCACTAGTTCGGCTTTAGGTAGCAATTTTCACCAGAATAGGGGTTTGTTTTGGAATGCTTACCTTTCTGGATGCTTGACCCGGTCGATGGCAGACATAGAATGCTTCCAACCTCCTCTAATCTTACGTCTTACGTCCTCTAATTACTCAACACAAAGCTGCTATTAGGACAATATCCAATTCTGGCCCCAGACATCACTCGGTACCCCTACTTAAATCTCTGAATATGTTAGACATTAAGTCACTGCACATTCTCTCATGTGTATTATACATATATAAAACGCTAAACTATAATGCCAATCCTGATCTCAAAAGCTTCATAGAAGGTTGTATCAGAACCCATGAGCATCACACCAGAAATAAATACAGTTTTGATATTCCTAGAGTACGACTTAATCAAACTAGAAATGCTCTACAAATCAAGGGGCCCAGAATGTGGAATGACTTTCCCAACCATGTTAAAGACTGTACCTCTCTCAACCAGTTTAAGTTAAAAACGAAGCTATACCTAATAAATTCCCTGTAACCTACCTTACCCTTCTATTGTCAACCAATGTCTGTTTTTTTCTTTAAAGAGCGCTGTTTGTCGACATAATTGTATTTGTGCTGCTTTTTCATCTATGTTTTCATTTCTTGTTTTCATTCTACTCATTATGCTCAATTAGTATTAAGCTTGTCATTTAAGTTTATCATGCCCGAAACGCTTTGCGTAATAGTGGCTTTAGGCATTGTATGTACTAGCTATACCTATAAGTTAAACAATCCTTGTAAATATTTATTGTATGTATGTACCTTACCTAAATAAAATTGTATTGTATTGTATTGTATTGTATTGTAACCACACGGGGGTTTCTATAGGCCATTGCTCCCCTTGCCTCTCTGAGGGGGCCAGGTTCTGGCTCGTGGTCCCCGGTAGGCCCTAGAACTCCATACACATGACTGATGCCAAAGTCTGACATTAGCATATCAGCCGGTAAAGCTCCGGGTAGCCTCCGGGTCTCACCCAGAAAATGGCGTTTCATTACATTCAACGCTGCTTTTTTGATCTTCTTAAGGCTAAACCTATCATTTTTTACTATTTCTCTAGAAGTGAATGTGATAAAGAAATACGAAATAGGAAGGTAGTAAGTAAAGCAAAGGTGGAGAGTGTTGATAACGCAGTGTGGGAGTAGTACAAACAGAGACGTGAGGTTTGATGACGAAGAAGATAGTGGCAGGCTGGCTGCTCATGGAAAAGGCGCGTGAATTTCACCAAGCAATGAAAATTACTCAAAAGTGTGTATACAGTGATGGATGGCTCAGAAGTTTTAAAACCCTGCACTTTAATGAACCTAATGCTCAGGTTCATTAAAGTGCATGGTGAAAGACAATCTGCTGATATTGCTGGTGCTGATGAGTATGTAAGTAAATTTGCGGAGATGGTGCAGGAACAAAATTTATCTTCAGTGCAAACTTATAATGCTGATGAGACAGGTTTGTATTGGCGTATGCTTCCCACAGAAACGATGGCTCATAGTGGTGAGGACGATTAAGGTGGTTATAAACAGAACAAACAGAGAATTTCTTTGTTGTGCTGTGCAAATGCAGCTGGCATGCACAAATTAATATTACTTGCGATTGGAATTAGTAAAAACCCGAGGGCTTTAAAGTCAGCCAGTAATATATGTCGAGTGGTTTAATAAGAACTTTGTACCCGAGGTGAAGGAGCACCTGAAAAGTGTTGGTTTCCCACAAAACAGCAAAGTTGTGCTGCTGTTAGATAACAGTTCAACGCATCCACGAGGTGATGAGCTAGTAAATGGCAATATTATTGGAACGTTCTTGCCACCCAATACAACTTCAGTGATTCAACCCATGGATCAAGGAATAATTAAGAACCTTAAACACCACTACAAGAGGATGTTTGCCAGACGTCTTAATAATCAGCTTGGAACACTTAAGGACTTTTATAAAGTCTTCACAATAAAGTCAGCTATCTGGACTATTGCTAGTGCGTGGGATGAGGTAAAGCAGACAACACTAAGAAATGGTTGGAAAAACTTTGGCCCACGTCAAGTCTGTTTCCTGACGAAGATGACGAGGCAGATTTTGAAGGATTTGCGGTGAAGAAAGTTAGCGAGAAGAAAAAATTAAGAGAGGAACTCCTAGCCTATGTCAAGGGGATTTAGTCCCCTGAGCTGAGAGCAGAACTGGTAACTGAAACAATAGAAGATGACATCGATAGATGGATAGATTTTGATGAAGAAGCCCCAAACAATCGAAACATGACTAATGATGAAATTATAGAATTAGTATGTACAGCAAAAAAGCCAGACGAGTGCAATGAAGAAGATGGAGAGGAAGAGGAAGAGGATGAAGAAACGTTAAAGGAAAATTGTAATGTGGAAAAAATTCAGAATTTTTTTTAAGAAATTCTGGCATTTATGGACACGAGTAACAGCGAGTTTGAAATTAAGGACATGATGACTCAGTACAATTTGTATATGAAGTTTTTAAAAACAAGAGCCAAGGGAATGAAACAAATGTCAATTGCAGAGTCTTTTGCAATGGCTTCCAAGAAAGCTCGCATTGCATCACCTGCACCTGACTCATCGCATGTTGACCCAGTCAACCCAACAACTTCAGTCAACCCAAAAACTTCAGTCAAACCAACACCATCAACATCCACCACTACCTCTTCCATGTAAATAACTATGCTTCATCAACATCAGTCATCAACATAAGCAGATCAGAACTTCAATTATTGGTGAGTACAAACAAAATATGGTCGCATTTATGCTATGAACCTGTCGATTTTTCCCCTAGATTTTTTCACACATTTTTTTTATATTTTTTCTCCATTTCTCGTATACGAACTTACATGTTAACCGACGGGTCTCGTCCCCAAGGGGTTCGGAAACCAAGTGGTGCTCTGTACATACAATACTTCGTACATACATCTTCATTTAGTTAATAAAAATACATTGTGTATTGTCATTGTAATACAATATAAATACATCATCAGGGCAATATTGAATTCTCCTCTGGTGGAGACGAGACTCAGATCCAGAACCCCAAAGTTGTGCGGAACATTGCGGAGCTGTTGCACGTTTCTCCAGATGACGTGATTAAGGCACTGTGCCACAGGGTCATAGCGGCGCGGGGAGAGGTAATGGAGAAGCGTCATACAGAGAGTGAAGCCAACTTTGGTCGAGATGCCTTTGCTAAGGTAAGAATCTATACTGATTGGTGGGGACTTTGTGGTCAACTCCAAGTGTTAAATGGGGGACTACCTTATGCACTCAAATCCCCCCAAGAGAGATTTTATTGTATTTTGATTTATATATATATAGTGTTTATTTTTCATGTACATAGTTGTTTAAGGGTTAATAGAGGAATGTGGCTTGTTGTTAACATTGTATTTGTCAAGTGTTTTCCTTGTTACTCGTTTCTTTTTAAAGGATCATCATGTTATGCAGCTATTGGCATAACTTTATATGAACTTCTTAACATTTTCATACTCTTATGGTTGTACATATTTTTATCATTAATATTTGGGCTATTGTACAATAAGTCTCTTTTTTTTTTTTTTTATATTCATATCACTTTTGATATCTTGTGCAGTGTCCCCCACACTGATTGATAATTGGAAGTACAGTGTGTCACCAAGCACACTCATGGAGCTGTACAGTCCACATGAATGCAACACTCATGATAAGGTCTCTTCATTAGTCATAATTTTATTCCAACACTTCCTTCTCTTCATTATCAATTCCTCCTGTCATATATCTCGACCCACTCTTCTGTGCTCTTTAAGATGAGGTTAATTATTCCACCATTTTAAAACTTCTAATATTTACTATTTTCATGGCTATATGTCTGTTGATTGCTTTCCAAATTGTTAGCCATCCTTTCTTAATTCCTTGCACAGAACAAGAGAAGTGTGCAAGTAGTGTTACATTGTAGATGCAGTGTGGTGAGTATTACAAATGGCTACCACCAGTCTTCTGTCATTGTGGCATCCTATCAATTTATTCATATTCTGTTGATTTTCTTTCTAACATGTATATTGTAATCATTTCGCCTTTGGTGGGTCTTTCTCCAAGTACCATATATTGTTAGGTTAACTTTTTAAAATCTCATAACTTTCTTATCTGTGGTACTGGTCTCTTAGCAAACATGAGGACTTCTCTTTACTGCTTGTGCTTCACAAGGATTGGATTCGATGTGTACTGCGCGTTTTAGGGCTGACCTGATAAGAGCTATTTATGATGTTTCGAATGATTATTTATTTATGCCTCTAAATCCAATTCTTAACTCTCTCCAGTGTGTCATCAAAACTACAGCTCAGGCTGCGTGTAAAATAAGAAATTATTCTTGTTTTTTTATAGAATAGTTGATCTGTTCTCAAAAGTATGTAAATACTGTAGTTGTACCCTTATTCTGGCCTAGGCAGTGGTCAAAATTCCTTCTAGTATTTATTGGCATTATGTTTTCACGGGAGCCAGGCCCAAATAATAAATATGTATTTAAAAGTCAGAAATCTATGTGCAAAAGTCTAAAGAATATCCAAATATTGTGAAGACATTTGTAGTCTTAGGGAAGTATTACATTTATCACGTGACAATGCAGGACTAGGAGCTGAAGTTACCCTTACTCCAAATAATGTTGTGTCCTCCCATGACTACTGGGAGGTTATATTGGGCTTATTGTAACTATACAGGCACCTTTGATATTCAAATATTGATACAAAACAAAAAAAATCACGTGATGACTTCACTGCAGTAGAACTAGATGATCAACATATGTGACTGCACTTTGATGGTTAAGTTTGCCAATTATGCATAAATAGCTAATGATCTAAGCTTTAAAATGGCAATAAAACCAAATGTTATAAAATATTGGATTGACAAAGACTTGTTCAGGCCCCCCGTAAATTTTAATTTTTATCATTTGGTATTTCATTTTAATGTAAATTAAAAATGTTTTACTCATTAGCATGAACACTGGCCTAAATGTCAATGCATTGCAGGCCATCTATGAAAGACTCTTCTCCTTTATTGTGGATGGAGTCAACAAGGCCATCGAGGTTCGTTACGAAGGCACAGCTGCTCGCTACAAATATAACACCGTCATTGGTGTGTTGGACATCTATGGTTTTGAGATCTTCGAACAGAACAGTTTTGAGCAGTTTTGTATCAACTATTGCAATGAAAAACTACAACAGCTCTTTATTGGTAAGTTTATATAATGAACAATTCAGATGAACCATGTTAAATACATTCATCATCTATAATTTGATTAGAATTAGCCCATTTATTGTTAGTTCTTGCAGAAGCCCTAGTTATGTTGGAGTTGCTCACAACCCCAGTTGAGAAATGCTGCTCTAATGGAAAACTCTTTACCATAAAACATTTTCCCTGTACCAATTACAATATAAACTTGAATTTTAACCTTCCCTGTTGATATACTCTTTCATTGCCTGTGCATTACAAATTTCTGTAATAGGACACTTGTAAAATATTAACATTTGCAAAATAAAGTATGCATTATCCCCAGAACTTGTACTGAAGCAAGAGCAAGAAGAGTACAAGAGGGAAGGCATTGCCTGGCAGAACATCGAATATTTCAACAATCAGATAATATGTGATTTGGTTGAGCAGTCACACAAGGGAATTATTTCAATCACAGACGAAGCCTGTCTCAATGTTGGTAAAGTCACAGACCAGGTAAAGTCACATAATATATTTTTATACTTGTGCTTTATCATCACTTTAAAGAATTCATGTATTTTTAATGATGCAATACTGTAGTATGTATTGTGCATTATAATATTGTTGAGAGTCAGAAGCTAGGAACTACATTATAGTTTTCAGTTTCATTGCTCATTTGATTGTGGTGTATACAAATACAGTAGATGTTATTTATCATGCAGGCTGGGTGGGTCACTGGTGGTCTCCTCAACTTGTGATTATAGGCGTTGCAACATTTTCATCACACTGCTCGGGAGACTGGTCCACTCATTAGTGGAAGCGAGACTCGGTTGGGAGGGGGTCATGCGAGCTATACTGTACTGTGTATGGGAATTGGTATGCATAATCATAGGTCTAATACAGTTTAAACTTTTTATTTTTCATAGTGTGTGTGTGTAGACTAAAAAAGTAATCAGTTTCTTCCAGTAGAGGTTTATTGTTCTGAGTAATGATTTGCTAGAGTTTTTATATCTAAATTAACTTAGCTTTCCAGTCCTTGTTGTGTTCTCTTCTTTATGGCATGTGCAGTTTGCTTGAAGGATTCCTTCTCCTGATGACTGCACATTTTCATATTCTCAGATGCTTCTTGAGGCCATGGAGAACAAATTAAAAGGCCACAAACACTTCACTACACGCAAACTCTCGCCAATGGACAAAGAGCTCAAACATGTGGAAGAATTCAGAATCAAGTGAGTAAAACTAAGACTTAATATGAACTTTACACTACACTACACTTAATATGAACATTGTGTGCATCAGAATGAGGCAAAGAAGAGCACAACTGAAATATTTTAACCGAGAATGAGTATTTGTGCTCATTCTGGCTGTTCCAGGTAATACACCAATAAGCATATTAGTAAATATAATGATGCACAGTCGAATCACTAATTTGGACATTCTTTTATGGTTGAAGATACTGTATGTAGATTAAAGAAATTTATTTCAAATTTCAAGATTTAAATGATACTGCCGAATGAATCTTAGGCATGCAAACAGGAAGCAAAGGTTGAATTACTATTTTGTGAGGGGCAAAATAATATAGTAGTTATGATTTCCTTTTCTTGCTAGTACTTCCTGCCAGATTATACAGTAGCTCAATTTATTTCAGTGTTCTCAGATCCAAAAACATCTGTACAAAGTCTCTTTGTCCATCTAGTTACCTTGCGGTGGTTCCGGGGGTTGAAAGTCCCTGTGGTTGTCTCGTATTTTTTATTATATAATACCTGATTTTTAACTTTACAGACACTATGCAGGAGATGTGGTGTATAGCATCAATGGGTTCTTGGATAAGAACAAGGACACACTGTTCCAGGACTTCAAAAGATTGATGTACAGTTCGTCTGATCCTGTGATCTCCAATATGTGGCCAGAAGGTGCGCAGGACATCACTATGGTAGGTTTTGTTGGGAGCATCTAAGCTAAATTGAGTTAGAGGTGTAACCTTCAATGAAATCACAGGACCATGATGCACCTGTGAGAAAATATTGAGGCCATACAATGGCATTGATGCCCCATCCCTGGGGGAGTACAGTAATGTAATGTTGAAGGCCATGATGAATTCTAAGTGGATTTAATTCAGTTTTATTGATCTTGTTGTCAGCTATGCACACTGTACTTGTTTTTGTTTATTAGGTATTGACATGAGGGTGAGAGGGTGTAGTACGATTAATTTTTACACCAATTTATATCTGCTACCATGTTGAATAGCCTTTCAGGCTGGCTACCTTTTTTTGATCATTATTTATAGTATAATATTTCAAGACTGCATCTTTAGAATGGCATAAAACTTGAAACACTTGTGTATGGTAATAATGCAGAGCTCTGTATTAAGCAGTGTAGATCAATTTTAGGAAATGGCCTTTTTCTGACATACGAGACATCTTTGCCTCCATACAATGTTATGGCAATACTTGATAGATGATCTTTAAACTTACTGGTGACATTGCACTAAATGAGCTAAATATAAAAAAAATAGAATAGTCTCAGTTGAAATGATATTCTGAGTTTTTTTTACAATGACAATTAATTGCAATTATTTTTAGCTTATTTGTGAATAACTAAATTGGTCACAAGATTTGCTTAAAATGTTTATACATATGGCATAGGTTTATATTATATAATTCAATTTTGTCATGTACAGTATTTCCCATTAGGCATTTTGAGTAATACATTACCAAGTTTCATTTTAGTAAAATAATAAGTGTATTTGCAGGCCTGAATGTTGCACATGATTTTCAAGCCATGCAGAACACTTTATTTAATGAAGCACAAATTTACTTGCAGACAACAAAACGTCCCCAAACAGCAGGAACTCTCTTCAAAAATTCAATGGTTGCTCTAGTGAAAAATCTTGCCAGCAAGGAGCCATATTATATTCGCTGTATCAAACCCAACGACCAGAAGTCTCCTGTGATCTTCGACCAAGAGAGAGTCATTCACCAGGTGAGGTTGTATATTTGTGCTCTAGTTGCTCGTTACTCACTCGTGCATTTACCTGGATTTACCTAGTCAGTTCCGAGGGTACCTCTACTCCACAAGCACAACCTGGAGCCAGGCTTATACCGTAATAACAAGATCTGTGTATAGCTGTTACTTTTACATTTTATGCAATTTTGTACTAATGAAGAAAATGTGAACTGTGGAAGAGTATTGATGCATATGTTTCAGTTCTACAAGTTCACATATGTTTGTAACTGATAACAACTGAAGGATACTAATGATTAATAAACAATCTTGCCTCTAACAGGTAAACTATCTTGGTCTAGTGGAGAACTTAAGAGTGCGAAGAGCTGGATTTGCATACAGGCAGAGTTATGATCGCTTCCTCAGGAGGTAAGTTTAATCAGTTATTCTAGTAAAGTATTTCATTAGCTATAAATTCAAATGTAAGCATAAAAAATAAGTGTTAGTGGCTTTTTAAGACTGCATTTAATGACCAAAATCTATACATAAACAACTCATTGTATCTTTTGATATATAAATTGGAATAAATAACTGCAGAAGGATGCTAGGATAATAAATAACATGCTATGGCAAATAAACCTGATAATGGTCCAGGACTGACCGAAACGTTGTCGTCGTCTCTTCACTTTCTAGTGTGTGGTTTGGTCAATATTTTCCAGTCACGTTATTGTGACTCCTCATCTGCATGCTATAGCAAAATTTGGAAGATTTTAATGGCTGAAAATCTAGACAACAACAATTATTCTTGAGAGGACAAGACCACTAAAGTGTCTGGAGGCAGAGTTTAAGTGCTCGAAGCTTAAAACGTAATCTTCTGCCATGTTTGATTTTTCAACAAGCGTTATAGGAGAGCTTATTCAATTTGCTTAATAAATGTTACTTTTATATGTAGTTCATTGTCATGTATGTTTTGAAAGCTGATTCTTAAGGTATAAAATTCATATAGCTTAGCAAAAATAGGAATGGGTCATATTTTTTGTTAATTTTGTTAATCTTTATATTGTTATATTTTATAATTGTTTGATTATTGTTTTTATGTAATGCTATTACTGTACTGTATTAATAGTAATCATACCTTCATGAATAATAGATGAAAATGGATTGACGTGTTTTGTTACAATTATGTTTAAGATACAAGATGATCTCTCAGTACACTTGGCCCAACTTCCATGGTGGTACAGACCGAGAGGGTACCAAGATCCTAGTAGAGGAGCAGGGCTTCACCAATGATGTCAAATACGGCAACACTAAACTCTTCATTCGCTCTCCCCAAACACTCTTCGCTTTGGAACAGGTATTGGTTATTTTTTAATAAAGAATAATTATTTTTGACAGGTCTGCTTGATATAATTTTATATTAACAAACTATTATATAATTGTTTTAATAATTGGGGACGACAGGATTAGATAATTTATTAGCGACGTTTTATTAGGCTACAACCGAAAGGTCCCCAGGATTGATTATGACAGCAGGACAGAAGTGTTTATGTAGTTTCCTTTCACCTGATGCATCAGTTCATCTAACAATAAATACATATCTGAAGAGTTGGGCAACTTTTGTGGGCTCCATCCTGGAGAAGGTCAATAATTGGCCAAGGGGAGTCCTCAGTAATTACAGGCGGCTTGTCGTAGACTTCGGGAAGCCAACCCATGCTAAATATTCTCACTTGCTAACTATTGCACATGTCCACCCAAATTATTTAGCCTGAATAAATATTGAATCAAGAATTTTCTGAATGGTAGCTGTAAATTTTTAAGTATTGCCGTGTTAATGACGGTATGAAGGTACTACACTGTAACTGTATGAACAAGTGAATGTGATATAGGCTGATTGGTTGTACATGAAAGAGAAATTACTGTAAAAAAGGAAGTTCTGATAATTTTCCCTGTTTTAGATTATTTCATTTTGAAACTTCCTAAACATGATACGTTAGTTTAAATTTATTTCATTATTATAACAATAATGGCTTAGGTCTGTAATGATTATCAGTGCTTGAAAAAATGTACTGTATATGGTTTAATTTATGCTTTGATAAAAATGCTCTTTGAATTCTCTTTTATAGGGAAGAGCAAAACTGATCCCAGGAATTGTAATTTTCCTGCAAAAAATGTGGCGTGGAGCCATTTGTCGGATGCACTACAGACGCATGTGTGCGGCCATCACCATTCTGCGACACTACAGGCTCTACAAGATGCGTTCCTACATACTCGAGCTCAACAGAGTATTTAGGTGAGTCTTTTGGATTGAGTATTGGTGTGTTTGGCATTTATTGTATACTAAATACTGTTGGTTAAGATTGTCAAGTATCACGTAATAAACGTTGTATTGGATTCTTAGAATACAAGTACAGTTTAAAAATTTTAGGTCCTTGTTTTAGTACAGTGCCATTAAAAAAGCAACAGTATTTGATTTCATAATTGGGCAGTGGGGTCTGTTTTTGAAACATTGTATCAGATTTAATAGAATAGAATTGAATTCTATTCTATTAAATCTGATATAATGTTTCTTATGTAAATCTTATGTAAATCATAAGAGGAGGATAAGAAGGAAAATGTACAAAATACTATTGCAAGTTTGTTTCATCAGAAATGTGAGGCAAATGCAGGACTTCGGTAAGCATGTGCGATGGCCCGCCCCTCCCCTAGTGTTACGCTCGACAGTGTCTGATTTTCAGAGCATACACAGCCGGTGGAGGGCTCACATGATCCTCTCTAATATAGACAAGGCAGAATGGCCTCAACTTCGCATCAAGGTAATCTATTTATACACATATTTGTTAAATTGGTGTAACTTGGGGTGGTGTGTGTTGATGCTTGACCCGTCTGGTTAGCTTAGGGTTACTGTAGGTCTGCAGATAACACGGTCAGCACCATTTTTCTCAATCATAAGTATATTTTACCATGTTCTTTGTTGTTAAAGTCAATCAAATATTTCTCAGTACAAGCGTGATTATGAGCACAAATTCCTGTTTTAGCAATTATTCACCTTTGGTATTTAAATTGATCAATTATTTTTTATCCTTAACGGTTCAGCTTTGTTTCACGCACACCTTTACCTTCTTCCTCGACTTCCGTAGCTTAATTTGTGTTCACATTCAGTTTGAACAGTGTTCTCACATACCTCAATTACATTTTAACATTAGTGAGATGGTAGCCCTCAGGTAATTAGTCTATATAACTCTTCACTCTTGATAAAAGAACTACATCATCTGTATCCATAATACTTGGTATATATATATATATGTATATAAAATCTACCATCAATTTCTTAAACAAATTTTGAATATGGCAGATAATCTTTTTATAAATACTTTTATGGGTTCAAATTTGCCTAAATATATAATAATTTTGGTTTATGACAGGTCATTGCTGGAGATGCTTTGATGGGTAAACGAGTAGATTGGGGTGTGAGGGAGAGCTGGGTGGGCAACTACTTGGCAACTACAAAAGAGAATCCTGAAGCTTCAACCTTTGAGTCTGCCGTCAGAAACATGCGTAACAAAGATGGATTCAGAGAGGTGAGTGTACGGGCTTCAAGCATACGAAATAGTGGTGGTATAAAACGGAGGGTGTGGTGGTGGGGAGTATTGAACAAGAGAAAGATGGAACAAGAGGAGTGTGTGGAAGATGGGGAGGGGGGGTGTGGAAGAGGAGGAGGCAGGCTGGTGTGGAAGAGGAGGAGGGGGGTGTGGAAGAGGAGGAGAAGGAGGGGGTGTGGAAGAGGAGGAGGGGGTGTGAAAAAGGTAGTGGTGAAAGAAGAGGAGGAGGATGATTGGGGGTGAAAGAGGAGGAGCAGGAGAGGGTGGAGATGTATGAGAACAAAAAAGTGGTGCACGTGTGTATGATAATATATACAGTACTGTATACATATAAATAAATACAGGATTGTGGGAGACTCTTTATTAAAGAGTCAATAGAATGTCTTAAGTAGCATCTTCTGCAGTGCATGTTGGAAGCATGGCTTGTGATAGTGAATGGCTTGGAATAAAGATGGGGATATCAGTATAGTAACGTACATTATTGTGGCTCAATCGTTTAATATACAATGTGTGGTTTTTTTTTAGGTGTTGTTCTCCAGCTTGGTGAGAAAGATTAATAAAAAGGACAAGATGGCAGAGCGTGCAATTATGCTGACAGACAAACAGATTTACAAGTTGCACAGCAAGACTTTTAAGCCTCTCAGATCACCCATTCCCATTTTGGAGGTACAGTATCAGTGTGTTTTGTGGACAAAGGACAGGAGCTGCCAACAAATTGTTAGAGGAATTGCCAGTCAAGGAATTCAGTTTTAATTAGGCATCGTCTGTACCCCTTAATACAGATGATGTTTCACTAGGTGAAGAGTTTCATTAGTAAAACTTGGTTGGTCATGAAGGCTTGTCCTTGACTGATGTTCGTGTTGAACTGATGGCATTTAATACAGTTGTTGTTGTTTTGTACTGGTGCTCTTTTTAAATAGGTGTATATATATATATAATGCCTAAATTTAGCCATTAAAATTTTCATCTATTTTGTCAATATGTATCACCACTTTAATTATATCTTTCATTAAATTTGTTTACTAGCTAAAACTTTAACAATTTGTATGAGTTGTGAATAAATCTTATAATGCTGGCTCTGACTTCTTAGTTTGATTTGTATTTTTTAGTAAGAAGCTTAATTCTACTTGGGTTGTTGCTCTGTTCCATTACAGGTGAGTGGAGTGAGCGTCAGTCCTGGTCAGGACCAGTTGGTGATTATCCACTTAAGAGGCGGCAACGATCTAGTTATCTCCCTCTCGTCACAATCCAATGCTAATCGTGTTGGAGAATTAACAGGACTCCTCCTCAGACAGTATCAACTGTAAGTGAAAACCATACTGGCCCTTATTAGTTTGAATTGTTTAAACATATTTTCTAGAGGGGTCTTGCCCCTCTTCACTTTTTCCCATCACCACTCTTTTCCCCCTCCCCTGTCCAACCACTTGGGCTGGACGGTAGAGCGACGGTCTCGGCTTCATGCAGGTCGGCGTTCAATCCCCGACCGTCCAAGTGGTTGGACACCATTCCTGCTCCCCCGTCCCATCCCAAATCCTTATCCTGACCCCTTCCAAGTGCTATATAGTTGTAATGGCTTGGCACTTTCCCCCCTGATAGTTCCTTTCCCTTCCCTTCCCCTCCCTTCCCCCCTCCCCCTTAAAATCCCCCATATCTTTCCCTCTTCCCCCTCTTCTTCCCATCTCCCCTCTCCCACCTTTAAAACTCTATGGAAAACACATCTCTGATCCAATTTCAGACTATGAAAATTGCAGAGGGGTCACTATGGATGCTGATATTTGTTAAAGGGTGTCACTGGAGCTGACTTCAACTTGCCTAATACACTAATCTATCCCCCATGTGGCATCTTGGAAAGTTGAGTGAGGCTAGCTGCAACCTTCTGGCCTCCTACTTTAAATATACTCAGACTAAGACATTCTTTTTCATAGACATTGATTAATTCAAATTAAAAATATGTTCATAAATATTTGTAGTTATAATTAATTTACACAAAATTGCAGTACATTTATTTATTTATAACAATTATGATCTCTCTTGAAATCATAAGTGATTTATATATTTTTTCTATGAAAATATGACTAGCATATTGTTGGGTGTCGATACAAAGATTTGCAATGTTTTTTGTCATGAATGTTTCTCTCCAACAGTCTTAACCGCTCAGAATTGCGTGTGGTAGTGGGTCCGACTCTGCAGTGCATGCTAGGCAGCAAGTCCCGAGTGGTGGTGGTTGAGGAGAGTGATGTTAGCACGTTTGCTGCATTTCGGTAAGTATACTTTTTTTCTTAAATATTTATAACTCTCCACAGCATGGAAGTTGGAAACTGGGTTATGATAATGTATAAATGTACAGTATATATAAGTGTATCCTCACTCTAATGAATTCCTAGAGGGGGTCCGAATAGGTTATATTTGGTACAAATTGTTCAGTGTAATACACAAATGTTCCATTAAAATGAGGATTGTTCATCCAAACCATCGGTGAGGCCAAGCGTCCTGGGGGTGGCTTTGTTAATATCATCCACGACTGACCTAATCAGAGTGTGAACTATTGAACTTAAAAATCCACTTAAAAACTTTTAATCAAACTCAAATATGACATAATTTACAAAATTATATTGTAAAATAATATATACACAAAATATTCACAAAACAGTCAAAAGTGAATATTATTGTTATCCTGCGACATGTTTTCCTGCTACATGTTCATCATGGGGTCATGAATTTTAGTTCAAATATAAAATTTAAATATGAAATAAAAATTTTTGTTAATACGGCAAACTATTGTACAAGTACTGTACTGTATTGTCACTCCACAAAAATTAGAAGTTATACATAAAATTAAATTTAAGATATAAAGATGGTTCCAAGCGTGTGTAGTCAGTACACACATTCAAACACCATTCCTGGTTGGTGACTTAGTCAGAGATGGTATTGTCAATTATTGCATTATCATCACTGTTATTTGCCTGATTTATTAGCTACATGTCTTACTGGAGCATTCATCATGCTGAAGATGATAAATGAAAATGCATTTCAGCTTTTTTATCGAGTGTAAAAGTGACGACAATGGCTTGTGCTGTAAGCTATCTCCTGGCATGGTGAAGCAGCCATCAGCTGATTAGCACACCAGAGGCAGGACGATAGTGGATGCCCCCAACCCCCTCCCTTCTTCCTCACCAGTTTGATAAGAAAATTCTATAATTTCACATGCTTGGTTTCAATACTGTACCTGCTTAATACATGCTTCTTGGAGTTCTGGGAGCTCTTCTACTCCGCCTCTCCTCTTCTACTTCTACTTGACTTGTGAGAACTACTCTCAAGTTTATTTGTGATAATAATAATGATTTTATATCACAATAATCGATCACAATAATGTTATATCACAATAATCACAACGATCACAATAATGATCGTATATTTAATTTTCATACTAAATTTTTGGCAAATGATTGATCTATCATATGCAATAGTAAAAATGAAGATTGCACAATAAAAAAATTTTTGGTGAATATATTGAGACTGGTAGAATGTGTAAACCCTTGTCATTATGTAATTAAGTTAATATATTGATCCCCTTTGTGCAGTTTTGTTTATTTTCAAATACAGTAGTATTGAAAAGACCTCATTTTATTTTGGCAAAAATATTAGATTTTGCTTTTTAAGATTGCAAAAAGTGACACGGCATCTAGTACAATAAATGAACAGTTGCCAGCCAGGCTCCAGCTCATCAAAAACATCATATTTACTTGGTTAATGCCAGACTGTATCCCAGCATTCAATACTGATGATTGCTTACAAAATGTTGGTCGCATTTACAATAGTAATTCCTATTTTATGAGTACATGGCCATCATTTAATAAGTATAGTACACCTTTTCATATCTCTTTACAACAAAACTTAGTAATGCACATATCTAATACTGTATCAGTATGTCTTGGAATTCCTATTTTGCTGTATTTCACTTCATATAAATGTCTTTCTACAGTAGCTAGTGGGTATTTTAGTATTGGTTCTTTCAATAACAGGAAAGGTACCAAGCGTGGCGACATGGTGTACTCATGGCCGATCTCCCTCAACAAGGAACTTCCTCCACCAACCAAAACACACGGCAGACAACCTCCTCCGCCACCACCTTCTCGTTCTGCTGGAGCTAACAGCTATGGCAATGGGAATGGTTATGGCCATGGCAATGGAAGTGTTCCTGGCAATGGACACATCAAGGACAATGGCTACACAAGCACCAGCAACAGCTTCATTCATGGAAATGGAAATAGTCGTGTTTATGCAAATACTGGTAGATATTAGTTCCGATCAAAAGAATTAACTGATGTGCTTTAATAAATTATCGAAATAGAGATTTATTAGTTAGAGCAGAGATAGTGAATGCGTGCCTTACTTGATAGTGCTCGTAACATATTGTGTGCTAGAGATAATCAACTGATACAATTCCATATATTCTTGTATATTTTCTCTGCAACCATACAGATAATGGCAATGCATTTTTCACATTCATTAAGTAGTTTGCATTTAATATCATCACCATTCATTTCACATGTTAATAATAGTCATTCTTTTTAATTCATCTCATATCTCTTGATACCATAATCTGCTTTACTCTTTCTTGCTTCATAAACGTTTTAAGTAATGCCTTGTGAAATCTGTCTGGTACAATAGCTTATAAAATATTTAATAAAATTTCTACTAAATATTAATATGCAATACTTCCGTATCTTCAGATTTAAGGGTTTTAGGTACATATTATACTTGTTTTCCAGTGCTTTGTATATTATTATTTCTACTACATATCTGACTTTTTTGATTCTTAGTTTAAGAAGGCCATCCTATTTTTTATATAGGGTGAAGCTTTTCATGAGCATAATATTTTTCGAGACTTCAGCCGAGTTGTCATGGGTTTCATATGATGAGATCGTTAGTGACAGAGAGGCAGCATGAGCTATGGTATTCATGTTAAAGCTGAAGTTAAACCACTTGCTGGTTTTAATTTGTTTAGTTTTGTCTTGAAGGTTTGGTCACTATTCTTCTTCATATTAGCATGAATAAATAGCTTGTTGCCTTATTGTTCGACCATGATTCAACCTTTGGTTTGAAGATCAGAACATCTTTTCTTATGCTTCTGTTCATTGTGGGATAGTAACTTATAAATTAGAGCACCCTACCAATGAAAATGGAATATAATGGATTATAACAAGAAAAGGATAACCTGTACAGGTTGTGTATGTTGGGCAAGATATAGCATTAACTTGAATAAATTGTCATTAGTTGTCATATCAACTACTGTCAGTTGTCAAACTGTCATGTCATCCACTCATAACTAAGTAGATAGAGGTTCTGCCTCACACACATGAGGTCCATGGTTCAAGTCTCCTAAAGCCCAGGTGAATGAAATTAACTTATATATTATCAAATAATTTTATGGATTCAAATATTCTCTGAAGTTTGGATAAATAGAATGCTTCAGTTTTCCTGTTTATCACATACAAGATGTCTCGTTAAAATATATAACTGTAAATAAGTAAAATGATTTAAATGTAATTAAGATTCTTATTCTGTCTTCATTTCTGATGCCTTGTTATTCCTGGGAAAACTTCTTCAATGGGAGTTAGGCTGTATACAGAAGAAAAGCTCCTTGTTATTCCTATCCAAACACAACCTTTTAGCTTTTTCTATTGCCCTCAGTGTTAGAATTTCTATTTGTGATTATTTTGTACTGTGCTTTTATCAAGAATGAGTCCGAAACAATTTATTTTTAAATAAAACAAATTGATTAATCTAGAACTAATCGACAGGGAGACCTATCACGTAATGAATGATGTGTGGAAATTTGAGGCTATCTCACTATAGATCGCAGTAAGTAATTGTTCAAAAGATTCTAATAAACTATAAAGTTGTAAATATGACTGACTGGTACTTCTGCCAAGATCTATCTGTAGCATTTTAGAGAGGCAACCATTGTATATAATTATGAGACTACAATATGTGGAAACTGCAGAAGAGGAAAATTTGTGTAATGTTCCTACAATCTTGATCAGATAATGTAGTGATGCTATAATAAGCTCATTCCAAGAGGTGTTCAGTCAAATTGCCTAGTTATCTTTATGTACTTGAGAATTTATCCTTGAAATATATCATACATATTTTATCAACTGGACAACATAGCCAGTTAATAACATGGTAGATGTTCATCCCTTAAAGAATAGCTTCATTATGGTGGTAGAGAAAGTACCTTTGCAACAAACTTGAAATTTATTTAGCCCTTTTAAAGATTAATTCATGAACATTGCACAATGATTTGAGACTGTAGAAGCACATTTTTTCAGATAATTAGTGGAAAAGCAATGTCTGAAGTTTTACTGCCATTGTGTTCAGAGTACCACTGAAGAAAGAAACTTGTTTCTACTAAACAACTAAAGTTTTGTTTTGTATTGTTTACTTTAGTTTCTTCCAACTAAAGAAGGCTGTTGGAAGAAACTACAGTAGTGGTGCAATCATGCGTTTCAGCTGAAACGCATGATTGTATACTGTATGGAACTGTATACTGTATGGAACTATATTTACTAGTTGTGCCATTGTATTGGGTGTGTAATTTGTTCTGAGTGTAGAGATTTTTTGTATACTGTACATACATAGAAATAGTTATTGTCTAGAGTTTTCTTGCCATACAGCAAGAGTAATCCATTTTATTTCAAATATTATTGGGGTGGGGGGAGGGTTAGTATTTTTGTGATATACTCTGATAATTCTGTGCTCGTGCACTATTGACGTATATAGTTTATATTTTTGCAATAACAGTATATTTGATGATCAGTGAGGTATAGAAAGCATAATCAGTGTTTAGACAATTGTTGAGTATTTTTAGATATGATGTTAATTTTCTATATTGCCGTATTTTTATTTTCACGATTCATATCCAGGCTGTTAAATTATTTGATTTGTTAATTTTGAATAACTGCATTGTTTACAATAATGCTGCAAGTTCATAAATTAAATATAAAATGCATAAACAAACATTCACTGGCAAGTATACAACCAAATATATATGTAAATGTCAAATAATATAACATTATAACTGTTATACTTATAAGGCAAGCAAAGAAAGTCATCATTGCTTATGTTGATTGCCTTAAGTAAATTGTATTATTTTGTTAACACTGTCCGTTATTTACATTAATGTTGCCAGTGATTTTTAAGTTATTTCTTCCGATGGCTAAACTTCTAATTTGAAATGCTTAAGAAATATTACTTAAATCTTGTGTTTTTTTTTTTTTTAACCACTTTAAAGCACATTTCAATATAAAGTAAGATTTTATTCTTGTTATTTGGCTAAGTTTTACCGTGTAGCTGGAGGAGATTACTGCCAGTTGCTGCTATCGCTTCACATGATGCACCCTGCAAGGGCATTACGATCCCTTGACAATTTGTTAACGAGACAATTTAAATTATTCTGCATTATGAGTACTGTAATAGTTTGTTGTAATTTTGTATATTACATGAATATTTATGAATAAAATGTGTACTTCCTTTTCCTCTGAATTGTTCCTATGTACTTGCAAGTCATTTTATGATGATTCTCGTAGTGTAATGGGTTAGGTAGTCTAAACCGGACCTCCTTTTGATACTGTAGCACATGTATGGTACATGCTCATATATATCTTCACAATGCAATGGGACTCTGATCATACTGAAACACATTTTACAGCTCTTGATCAAAATATTTTAATTTTATTTTTTTGGCAATTTAGGAATCAAAATGTGGACTAAAATGTGTTCCATATTCTCAACTAATAGAAAATAATTAATTGTGGACAAATATGAGCTAAAAGTAATGAAGACTAAGGATTGCCCAAAAAAAGTTGAGATTATTAATTGATCTTGTGCTGCTATGGAGAGAAGTGTTATTTCAAGTTAGTTTATGCATGACCTTAAACATGTGTGATGTGTGTTTTATTGTCTGCAGTCAGGCTTCATACAAATTTGCAAGTTTGAAGCTCACTTTAGTTAGTCCCGCTCCTGTGCCAGGTAAGTCCACAGTGAGCTTTTTGTTCCAAGTAGCAAATCTTAAACAACAACAACAGCTCAAATTTTTTCGAAATGGATTTCATAAATTTAATTCTTAGTGCTTCAATATGCTTAAAAATCATGAACATACGAACAAAAGTATGCAGAAGGCATGCGTTGAAACTTTCCTTTGTAAAATGAAACAGTATATGGATTAATTGTTCAACTATAAATAATCTTCTGTTGCAAGGTCATGAGATTCTCAACAGCTGTAACACTGCTTAGAGACAAACTACTGGTGCCATCAGAAGGCTAGTAAGTGCTGCTTCAACAAAAGATGCAAGTTATATATAAACTGGCACAGTAGAAGTTTTGCCAAGCTTGTCAAAGTTAAAATCTATTCCCTGAGTATAGGAAAAATGTCCCCAAAATTTAGTCACTTTTCAAAATTGCAGATGGTTACTAGAGGCCTTAAATACTGACTTGAGGATTCAGTGTACTGTACCTGCAGGACTTTCAACTATTGCAAAGTTCTTTACTCGCAATCAGAAATGGTTTGGCACATTTCCATTCACCTAATGAACTGTTCACGTAGCAGTAAATGGGTACACATGAGTTGTCAACTGTTGTGAAGTTGTATCCTGGGAAGGATCAGTACTTTGACCTTAGGGACCTCGATACAAGCTTATCACACAGGATGCTGCTTCCCCAACAAATTTAATAAATTTTGCATATGTGCACCATTGGTTGAACATCATGATAGTATGTGCATTTCTAAGGCTAAAGTGTGGCCATTATTATAAGTGACCTTAACGAACATTAAGACCACTCTGGGAATATTAGAACTTACCGGTAGCTAGCTTGGGAAGCACTATTGTAAAGTGATGAAAACTTAAGCTGGTTAATCATTTGCCTCTCAATAGAATCTTTAGTGAATATAATACCTTTGATATCACTCGCCTTATGTTCTGTCCTCACATTGATGTCTTGGGTGATGTTAAGTGTCATTTGAATATCTAGCAACATAGTGCAAGTCTCTTTAGCTTAATGTCTTCTCTTAATACATGGGCCGGTTAATAAATAAAAAAAAAGTTACTTTCTATAAAGACATCCCAGTATTATCTCAGTCTAATTAATATCTTGGCCCTTCACTGTTAATTTTCTTCTGATACTTTTTTTTTTTTTTTTTTTTTTTTTTTTTTTTCTCCCAATTACAGTATCAGGAGCAGACACTTGGGTTTACATATAGAAGTTCCCCCTAGAGCTTGACCAACATTTGACCATTCCATAGTATGCAACCCACAATAACTGCCTAACTCCTGAGAACCTAGTTCCTGATAGGCGTGAAGTGGTATCAGATCCAAGTAAATTTGCTAGAATATCTTGTCCTATTTGTGAATTGAACTCAGATGCGATTGGTTGTTCCCTCTGCACCACAGAACACAATGGACTGTTCTTTACTGTTAGTTGGGATAATTTTAAGAATTTATATACAGCCACAAAGGTCAGAATATGAATCGCTCCTAACCATGAGTGTTAAAAACCTGAAAAAAAGATAAGTTCCTTATTGTGCGCAAACTAATTATACTATATCAATCGGCACGAGCAGATTGTAACAGTTTACCATCAATAAATATTTCGTGCATCGTTTTCTTTTATTGTTAACCACAGAAAATGATATGAATTGTATTTTCTACATGAACTGAAGAATAGCATTTTTCTCCCCCCCCCCCCCCCCCGAGTTTATCCCATTACATATGGCATCAGACACCTCTTACAGTATATAGCAATTATTGGTTTTGTTAATTTGTGTCCTTGGGTTAAATTAGAATATAATAAAGATTATCGATGGCGCAAAATGGTATATCGTTTAGCTCTATTGAATCCCCGTTAATTCGTTTTATCGGGAGACAGGCAGCCTGTGAATATATGTACGTTAGGCTTATATCGAGATTCCCTTAAAATCGAACTTCTTGACCTTTCCCAGGAGGCAACACCACAACAGTTTTTGAGATTGAGATATATACAAGAGTTGTTACATTCTTGTACAGCCACTAGTCGCATAGCGTTTCGGGCAAGTCCCTGGAATACGATCCCCTGCCGCGAAGAATCGTTTTTTCATCCAAGTACACATTTTACTGTTGCGTTAAACAGAGGCTACAGTTAAGGAATTGCGCCCAGTAAATCCTCCCCGGCCAGGATACGAACCCATGACATAGCGCTCGCGGAACGCCAGGCAAGTGTCTTTACCACTACACCACGGAAACTGTAAACCAAATCCCGGATGCTGCTAGGTGAACAGAGTTATGAGGTGAGAGGAAACGTGCCCAACAACGTGCCGCGATAGCAGCCACATAGTAAGGACTGACAGTTTAAATGTGAGCTCAGTATACAGTATATCAATGAATGTGACCTTTTACGATCACATTCACTCCAAACATCTACCACTTACGGGCTATTCATGCTCGTGCCACCTTTTGGGTGGCTTAATCTTCATCAATCACTTGTAACTTCACAGTAACAAGGTTATCGCAAATAACCGAACTCGGTTATTAATATAACTAATGGTTATATTATTATTATAATAGTAATTATAATAATAATTGTTGTAATTACTCATTATTACTCCTGCTGGGTCATGAAGGAAGCGGGCCTCGGGTGCAAGAGGGCTGTGACGATCTGTCAGGAACCCGTAGGTGCGGGACCGGGCCGTCCACCTCCTGGGGCTCGTGCGGCCCCCCCAGGCCCTGCTTCAGGAAGCTGGGGTGGTTCATGCCCTTGCTGGGGTGGTTCTTCTCCGGCCCCGACCTCGGCGGTCTCCGGGTCTGGGGTCCCTGTGTCTTCTTTTACCAACTTCGAGGTTAACTCCGGAGCTGGAGCCCCTGGGGGGCAGTTCGTTGTTGCCTTCAACCTCGTTCTGACAGTTCCTGCGACGGCGCTGGAACCAATCGTATTGGCGTTTGTCTTTCCATTGGAGACTTTCGGCGCCGTGGAGAGGGAGAGGGGTGGGGGGGCGCTGCATGGGTAACAGCTTCTCCCTCCATATCAACCTATCCTGGCTTTGCGCCCTGGAGAGGTCACTCCAGACCGACAACCAGAGCGCAACGCTACAGTCTCCCAAGACTGATGGATGCCTACTACTACTACCTGTTATCCAACTTGTACTCTAAGCCTTTCCTAGGGTGACACTCTGGCATGAGGGAAAATGTGGCCACGTCCTAATCATTAATTGTATTAAGGCCTAACACTAAGAAATGCGATTCGTTATCCCAACACCGCCCGAAAAGCTACGCGTGCTAGTGGCTTTACAAGAATGTAAAACTTCGTCTTTGTACTCTCATGAACCCAATGTACCTTCTTGTATATAAATAATACATAAATAAATATTAAAAACAGAGTTCAAATATTTGCAAGTGATTGATTGATGAAGATTAAGCCACTCAAGAGGAGGCACGGGCATGAATAGCCCGTAAAAGTTACAAGTTATTGTTGATGAAGATTAAAACTTTTGGAGTTACAAGTTGTTGATTTTCAAATTCAGCTCCTGGGACAACATTTCCATGAAGCTCGAGCTATGGGTAGGTGCCTGTAAATTCCTTACACTTTGAGGGGTGTTAAAGGCTTAGTAGGTAGAGCAGCGGCCTACCGTTTATGTGGTCGACGGTTCGAAGCTCCAAGGTGAATGAAATGTGTGTGTGTATATATATACAACTGCATACATTTTGGATATATACTTCTAACAATTTTTACTCATACAATGAACTTGCAACAGTATGTGTCTGTTGTACAGTATTTTATATATTTTGTACAGTAAGTAATCATCAACAGAAGGCTCCAGCCCCGAAAGATTAATTAGCAAAATTTTGTGAAGACAACGATATATTTATTTACAAATTTATTCACAAAATAGGGATGTAATTATAAACAAAATATTTGCAATTCTTTAGACTATTTTCCTCCGTATGTCTACACTTTTTCTGGAACAAATGAGCATCGTTGAGTATCCCATGTTTACAAACTGGGAAGGTAATGAAGCAGTGTCTCCCACAGGCGGCACAGCGCCCAACAACTGCCTCCTCTACAGCCTTGACGGACACATGAAGAGGCTCTGTGAGTATCCAATAACGGCCACACACACACATACACACACCCTTCCGCCTGATAATGAACAAAGGAGGAGAAATGGTGAGAAATCTCTAGCGTGCTCCCTCTTAGGCCCAGGTCAGTAGCCATTCTCATTACGGGTCGAGTGACAACACCGTCAGTCATGTTTACTTCCTCGCGATTTCTACCAAGTCTTCATAAAGCTCTTTGTTGCATCATCTAAATGTTGATGGAAACCTCAAATAAATTTCCACGCTGATTTTAAAATTGTTTCCCGAGTGCGTAAGTGATATCAAGAGAGAGAGAGAGAAGTAAAATAAACAGTGGCGAGAACAATGGAAGCCTTGCGCCACAAGGAGATACACCAAATGACAGTCGACGATCGATTACGTCACAACATGGCATCGCGCGCACGTGA